TAGTGACGGCAAAAACCAGCCAAGACTGTACATACAATTGATTTGATATCACAATAACTAGCATGGCAGGTTGCTCTAATGCAATATTGAGCCCCTATTCAGCAGTGGCCTTCTCTGCATTGCTTGAACGCAAGGCGCAAAAGCGTCATGCAGGCAGTCCGTGCCACAACGAGCCTAATCTGGTGGTCAACCGGGCAAGTTCGTCACAGTAGAATTGTACAACAAATTTTATTGCGATAGCAATTATATGGACACTCTCGGCTCGATTTTGCCGCCGGCGTCGGCGTGAGTGTCACCTTCACTCACCCTATATGTATACATATTTATATATATGAAAATGTGAGAAAGAAAAAAATCCGGAAGAAGACTCCAGCGCACGAAATCGAAAATCTGTCCCCTTAATCGTGAGTGCGAGGCCTTAACCACTGAGCCACCGAGGAGCACGCCCTTCATCGTTTAAACGGCAAGCTACCTGTATCTACCACTTACCACTGCTGACGGGCATCTCAGGGGGGGGGGGGGGAGGGGACTGTCGTGTTTTCAGCATTACCAGCAGGATGGCGCAATGAGCGCGTGCAGCAACACCATCACGACGCGGCGGCCGTGCTCTCATCTCCCACGCGCACTTAGCCCCGCGAAGAGCAGAGGGTTGATGCTCACTCACGTGCCTTTATCTCGCAGTAGGGAGAATCGTACGGCTTTTACCGGAACGATTCTGTTTTAGTTCACTGTAATCGGTTACTGCAATTGTTCTACAGTCTACGTTTGCGAAAAGAGCGCGCTTTTCAGACACAGCGAAGTAACAACTGAGACGCTTAATCGCGTTCATCTGTACTTGAGAGTACGTTTCGTGCGTCTATTGTACGTGAGAAACGCGGCGCACGTTTCGATCTGCTGGTCACTCTGCGCGTGACCTCACAATTTGTTGCTATCGCATTCATTGCTTTGCCTTTGAAAGCTGTGACTTTTTATTATACAAGTACGTGATTGCTGCATTTATGTAAATATTTCTTAAACTTCTTAGTTTCACAGTCTGCGGCCAACAATACAACCTGCCGAAAATGGGGAGAGGTCCCGCACCCCTAATTTTTCTCAATGGGGAGAGGGATGCTAGCACCCCTCGCCACACCCTCCTTCCGGCTGATGCCAATGTGTCCAACTGATACCTATGTGTTTATGTGCCTCTTTTGGTTTAGTTACGCTGCTCGCTAAGATGCAGAAGTTTCAACACGAAATGAACCACTACATTGTGCTTCGTAATATCGGCATAGCATCGATACATAGAAAACCAGAAGTGAATGAATTGTAATTGATTTTTTTCCTAGAATATGTATTACATTTGTATCCCTAAGATTCAGCAAGATATATTCAAGCATTGTTTGACAGCGCAGAAATACGCTAATGAAAGTTACGTATGATATTCACATTATCACACCATAATGTCCATTTCGTTTCGACAATAATGGCGTCTGTGCTCTAAAGTTGATGTAGACGTTATGTCACACCCTAAATGTTGCACCTTCAAGGGGCCCTAAAACACTTTTTTGAGTAACCATGAAATTATTTCACTGGAACAGCGTATTGACTTACTAATTCAATGCCGCAAAAAGTTCAAGAATCCGTCCAGTACGAGCGGAGTTACAAATATTTGTCACACGCTGCAATCGCATTTTTTCTTCTTTCGTCCCGACGAAAGCGCTGGAAGCTATCCAGGGAGGGACAAACAAAAACGCCACGCACGCTTCGTGACCTTGAGTACTTTTTTTAATCTTAGAATACCCGGCCTTTTCAGTGCGATCGCACGCGCATGCGTGGAGAAGTCACGGCCTCCCGCGGCAATCTCTGTAACGACCGAGCAGACCATGTTTAAATCAGCCAATGGCTGATAAATGGGGTTACTGCGAGTGATTTTTGGGCTTATTCCGTCATTTGCCGAGAGAAGAGAAAGCAATTTTCAGCTGACTTTTATAATTTATTGTGACTTCCAGGCCGCGTGCTGCGCTATAATGTTTGGCTCACGTGTTCTCGGGAGCCTTTAATACCTTTCGGCAGCGTTTTCTGACTATGCTAAAAAAGTGTTGCAAGGCCCTTTAACATATTGAGGGTCCTTTTTTTTCGCGAAATGCGTCCACCCTTTTTTGTTTTTTATTGCACAATTTCAATTCTTCAGAGTAATGTGTTTAAATAAAAGTCACAATTCTTTTTTTTTGGGGGGGGGGGGGAGGGGTGACCGCGTAAAGTGAAAAACAAAAATCATTTGGGTTGTGACTAACACATGGTTTCTTAATGACAACAGGACAAATTCAAAAAACTATAGGGCTGTAAAAAACTGTGCGTTGAAATAAACGTATGTGCAGTTTACAGACGTACAAAATAAGTGCACGAAGTGGCGTAAAGCGGCAACGGGGGGTGAAGAAAAGCCATTTTTTGATCCTGTCAACTTCGTTTCACCGCGCACGCTATTTAAAATGTCGCTCAGTGATGCACACCTGAGCCTTGACTTGTAGGTAACTTCTCGTATGGCGGACAGACATTTATCGAATCCGATTCTGATCCAGCAGTCGAGCGGCCATGCGGAGGAATCACCGCTGGACTGACTTGCGGCAAAGAAACCGTTGCGCACTTTCATAGCGCGAGCAACGACTGCGCGGGTGGGCGCACTGCATAGAAAACACCCATTATAGTCATTATACTTGCCGCCACCGAAACGATTTTTGTGAATTCCCTAAACAGCAAAAGCAACCACAGCCCGTCACCTGTGTCAGCGCCAGCATGGAAACAGGCGTGATCGGGTACCAGGAGAGTAACAAAGAGGGTGACAAATCAGTCACCTATTGAAAGATTCTAAACTGAAACGCCAAAAGTTTTGCGGACGCAAAAAACAGCCGAAGAACGGAAACCAAACTAGCCGGCGCACCGCTGTATTAAAGCCTTAAAAAACACAAAAACGGAGAAACATCAGCGCAAGAAAAAAAAATCGATCTATTCCAGCAGTGTGGCCGCACACGCCAAGCAAGAGAAACAATCCGAAAATGCGCGCGTTTTAAACCCACAGGTAACGACTGAAGTATCCGTCTGTGACCGTCTTGTGGCTGGTAGCCGATGACGTACATGTATGTCTTTGACTCTCGAAAGGTTAAAGGCCAGGGTAGTTCGCGTTCCAGGTGAGCACACGATGTACACAGAACTACTACATTTATAAAAGCACGTCGATTCGCCTAGTAATCATTTCTTCATAACAAAACATGAATGAATTTATAAATGAATACATACATACATAAATACATAAAAAATAAACAAATACAGCATAGACAATTACTCGGCGACTGCTCCGCATAAAGCTGGTTACCACAAGGTGTGGGATAATCTGAATTTTTATCTCTCGAGGCTTACAAATTGTAGCTGAAGAGTACATTTTAAATAGAATTCGGGGTTCCTGCAAGAGAAGCTGCGATGAATCAGTGTTTGCAGCCTTTGTTCGGGACGTAAAGTTTCTTGGTTGATCAGTTACCCGGACGACGAAACACCTTGCCTGTGTGTATGTTTCAAAAAGTTAAATTTGTGCTTTGATATGAGTTCTGTGAACCGGAATTGATTCCCAATATAAACTAGATGCGCGTAATAGTTAGAGCACGACTTATAAAATAAAATGAATGTTATAAAGGAAATGTGAAACTGCGAAATTGTGTAATTGCAATAGGGTTTTACGACTTACGCAACAAATATCGTTGTTTCTTCTTTTCTTAGTGTGAGTGGTTCTCTTACGTTCAGTGAACATTTCGTTGCATTCTAAAAACAGCTGATGCCAAGAAAGTAGTGGACATCGATAAGAAGGTCAACGACTTCATTAAGAAACTGGAAAGACAACACAACACCAAGGCTCTGTGGTGGGACATGTACGGCAAGTCGGGAAGGCCCCTTCGCAGAGAAGGAGACAACGAAAAGTGAGTCTTTCACGGTGCAAAGCGCGTTCTTTCATTATCACAACTCCGTTGGGCGATCGTCGGGCAGAATACAGACGTATCGGCACCTCGTAACGCACTGTGATAGCATGCATGGATAATTTAGGAGCAGATGCTTTTAGCAAGCCAGTGAACGTCGATCGTGGTAAAAAAAAAAAAAACCGAGTCAGAGCCAAGAGTTTACAACATCAAAAAGAGTATATTTTTAATGGCAGCAGTACAAACACCTACCATAGGTTCACACTTGGCTAGTTAAATCAGAATAAAACTTAGATAACACCTACCATACGTTCGTAGTTAAATCGGAATACAACTTAGATGGGTTTTGACAACAGCTGCGCTCAGTTGCGCTCAAATACAAGACCTCTGGAATATTCAAGAAGTTCTTTTATATTCACCGCCTTGACAAGTTCTTGCACGTAGCCTGTATAACGATCCTTTCGGTAGTAGGTAATCACTTGTCTTCTCTCGGCGACACTGTCTCCAACGCTCCTATACACTGCTCGCACTGCGGCATTTCGCAGCACTTCTTTCAAGGCCTACTGGCGACGCTATATCCTGACACATCTTCTCTGGCCGACCAAACCACACTTTTCTGCATCATAACGTTTTCTTTCCGTCACAGCTGACTCTCCAAACTACCGTCGCCGCGTGCTTATATGTTGGGTTGCGCTCGGGTTGGTGAGTCGGCGACACAGTTCACCTGCTCACAGCGCAGCGGGGACTTGAGCAAAAGCGAAAAAGCTCCCGTATGTACAGGGGAATAGAAAGAAACGCAAACTGATCGGCATCTACATTCTCCACTGTAACAAATAATCTAGAATCTCTTTATTTATAGTCACCAAGGTTGGAGCGTGATGATTACAGTGCACCACGCTGTTCGCGTTTCTTTCCAATCCCACTGCGCCTGGCCTTGGCGAACGCATCCATGGCGCCGGCTTCGCTCGACATGGAATTGCGTCTCGAGCCTCGATTTCGACACTTAGCGCGAGAACTTGATCCGAGCGTGCTGGCTCTCTCGGTGGGCGTCCTCTCCGGAGGGGCTGAGGGAAGTGCGCTTTGGAGAAGCGACCGTTGCTGGTATCGCAACGCGGGCGCCGTCATTTGATGTGGCTTTCGAAGGCGGTTTGAGCGTTCATTTCGCCCACACATATATACTGTGAAGTAGAGGGCGTGAAGAACGAAACATTAGAAAAATTGTTTAACGTTTCAGCCGGGCTCCGGCCTTCATCTATAAACCATACAGAAATGCACTCTTCTACTGGATACAAGGGGCACTTAACGCGTCAGAAATCACTATCCCACATTATTCACTGCAGTATGGCGAGTAATCCACGGTGACAAGAGCATGTCACTGCCAAATCATGTAAGTACACCCGTGATGGTTCCATGCAGTATATCGCTTCAATAGCAGTTTGAAAACCATCTCAGAATCGACAAACAGAAATAAGGAATCATTCTAGCAAACGCATTTAGCAAAACCACGCACACAAGAAAAGAAAATATAGCGAAAATCACGGGAATAAAGGAAGATGCTTTACTCTCAATTTCACGGGGTACGAACATAGATAACACGAAGTAATGAAAAGCAATATAACAAAAACGTGTAGCGAAAATCTGCGTGTACAGTGATTATTATTACACTGTTATGATGCTAGAACTTTGTTCTGTACCAAAAGAAACGTCAGTTTTTCTGGATTTTTATTTATGCTATAGATAAGAAAGAAAGCGTTGAATTTGTGTATGAGGAATGACTCGAGAATTTGTTTATTATGGTGTGAAGGGAAATCTGATTTCAGTATAATAGCTGTTCGTTTATTGAAAGAGTGACCAGAAATATACGTGCATATACATAGGTAGATTGGATAGGCTTGTGGCATGTGGCTACTAACACGATGTCTAAAAAAGGGTTTCAGTTCGCCCGATATATTGGAGTTTGTAGCCAAAGCATGTACACAATGTTGCTTGTGCCTCAGTCAAAAATCCCCTTCTATTTTCAACTGAAATTTTGAAGCTCTACTCTTGACAGAAGTACTCTTGACAACCAGAATAAGTCGCGGGGGTAATCTTTGACGATGTTAGTAAGTCGCGTAAGTTCGTCTATCTGCGATATACCACGCGTGGGGGATCGGGAAAGATGCTTGTAAGGTGATCACTCTGCAAAGGCCGGACCACACGTACACGTTGCAGCGCGTCAGCGCATGGCTTTTGCACGCAGCGCGACTCCCTCTTTCTCTCTATGAAGAGAGGCGGCCTGCTGCTTCACGTAGCTGCGCACCCTCTCTCTTCGTCAGGGCGGCGCCACGCCAAGAAGCCACGCGCACCCGCTGACCACGTGCACTCGTTGCAGCGCGTCAGCACGCGGCTGACGCGACACCGCACCCTCTTCCTATGGAGAAAGAGGGAGCGTAGTATCGCGCAGCCATACGCCCTCTCTTATCATGAGGAGATAGCACGGCACCACGTCAAAAAAAAAAAAAAGGCAGATCCCACGTACAGTGGGAATCGATCATATGCGAAGCACGAGTGAGGAAGGTTGAATTGTCCCATTAAAATCAGCACAACGTTACAAGGTAGACGTAAATTATGCCGAACATGACTTCCATGTCATGTATATCATGTTTGCGCCCGAAATTTGTGTTCGTCAACGAAGTGAAAAAACAGCGCGTAACACAGGACACAGGACAGAGAAGAGACGGACGAGTCCGTCTCTTCTCTGTCCTGTGTCCTGTGTTACGCGCTGTTTTTTCACTTCGTTGACCATGTACCAACCGGCCCAAATAAGCACTTTAGTACAGTTGTGTTCGTCGTCCATTCGCGTCACGTAATACGAAATCCGGTATATGTGAAGCTAACGAAACGGCCGCGAGCGCGCTGTGACCGATGTAGTCAAGCTTTGCATCGTGCACACGCATGTCATGATGATTATGTTTGGACGAGTCATTTACCTTCGTGGTCTATTCACGTCTCGTAATACCAAATTTAGTATACCGGGTGTTCAAAATTAAGCTTTATGATTTTTTTAAAATTAGGCGCTCGAAGGCACGTGAGAACCACTTGTGCAAATAAGTTAAGCGGCCAGGGGGACAGAAAGTTAGATGATAATTATCGCTGTCAGCAGCCCAATTAACTAAAATTTAATAATTAACTTTTTACTGGCTGCGGTAAGTTGGCATGTTTATATTGAAAAAATGTAGGCAGTGGTGTTTGTACACAGTTTCAGTTGGAAGATTTTTTCTAGCACGCCTGTGTTCCGAGATATCCGGCTCCAAAGTTTAATTGTCTTTCGCACGATTACGCATGCAAGAGGGTGAGGGTCCGCGCAAAGCTCCTCCCTAAAGTGACGCATCTGTTGCGTGTGGTGTTTAGTGTGTGAAGAGGGTGGAAGCGTAGGCATAGGTGATAGCAATTACCCTTGCCCTCTTCGGCCGGCGAAATCAAAATGTGACAGCGCGGTGCGCCATGAGCCTTACGCATGATCCTGATGAACGCGATAACAGGAGACCATTTTTCGCGACGTTTTTTCGTGACTTTAGATCACACTGAGACATCTTCTTGTGAACGCGTTAGCAGGACCGTCCTGCACTAGGGTGCCTCCGGTTAGAGCACAGCGTCTCTGCATTGAAGGTCTACCAAGGAAATCCACGTGGAGTCCTTTCGAGCTAATATGGCTGCTTCTGGCGTGAGGTATTCTACCAAAGTAAAAGTAGACGTGGTGCTTGCAATGGCTGAAATGAATGGCAACGCTTCGTTAGCAATGGAGCTTTACGCGTCTCGCCACCCACACCGTCCCCTTCCAACAAGGCCCACTTTCACAAACCTGTTTCGACGCTTCTGCACAACAGGCTCTGTCCACCTTCCGAGACGGACCAGGAAGGCAATCGTCGATGAAGACTTTGAAATCGACGTTGTCGCGTGCGTAACCTCGATGCCAGAGCTCAGCATCCGACAGATTGCCGATCAGTGCGGTCGCAGCATCGGAACAGTCACAAATGTTTTAAGAAAGCACAAGTTCCATCCATATCACGTTTACCTTCATCAGGACCTAAATGAGGCGGACTTTGAAAGGCGAGTTGACTTCTGCAATTGGGGCCTCATCAAAACTGATCAAGAAAATGACTTTTTGCACAGAATAATTTGGACTGATGAAGCTCGGTTTTGCCGAAATGGAAGTGTTAATCTTCACAACGCCCATTATTGGGCACAAGAAAACCCACACTGGCTGAGGCAGCACAAGCATCAAGTTCGCTGGAGTGTGAATGTGTGGTGCGGCATACTCGGGGACAGGATCATCGGACCTCACTTTTTTGAGGACAACTTGAACGGAAAGATGTACACAGAAGAAATATTAGGTGTTGTCATTGATGATCTTGTCTGCAGTCTTTCCCTGAATGACCTGCGCCAAGTATGGTTTCAGCACGATGGAGCACCACCACATTTTTCTACCAGGGCGAAGAACTGGTTGGACAGACGTTTTCCACAACAGTGGATTGGGCGCGCAGGAGCGATGTTTTGGCCACCAAGATCACCTGACCTTTCTCCGCTCGACTTTTTCCTTTGGGGCTACGTTAAAGATCGAGTTTACGTAACAGAGCCCAGCGATGTTAATGACATGAAGGACAGGATAACATCTGCCTGTGCGAGTATTCCTGCAGAAGTACTGCGCCGAGTCATCGAGTCGACGCGACAGCGGTTCATGCTTTGCGTTGCTGCCGAAGGCAGGCATTTTGAACACTTTTTGGGGCATTGACGTCTTGAGAGGTGAAGAGTTTCGATGAGATTTGTGCATGACCGAAATATGCTTATGTAGCAGCAGGAAATATGCGTTAGCAAGGATAAAACTGTTTCAGTTATTATTGGTGGAGTTGTTGCTCTTGTTTCAATAAAAGTTACAGTACTCGGACATCAGCAGTCACGCTATTCGCGTAGCCCAGGCAACGACCACGCATGCTTCTCTAGTGATTATTACGCACGCGCACTGGCATCCAGATTCTCCGCTCGCACCATTATCTCGGCATGGTATCTGCCACTATCGTTAGAGGCTCTGCAGTTGCGTGTTACGACACTGGTTGCAAGCGTTCTTCGATTTTTGATTTCGACGGCCGAAGAGGGCAAGGGTAATTGCTATCACCTATGCCTACGCTTCCACCCTCTTCACACACTAAACACCACACGCAACAGATGCGTCACTTTAGGGAGGAGCTTTGCGCGGACCCTCACCCTCTTGCATGCGTAATCGTGCGAAAGACAATTAAACTTTGGAGCCGGATATCTCGGAACACAGGCGTGCTAGAAAAAATCTTCCAACTGAAACTGTGTACAAACACCACTGCCTACATTTTTTCAATATAAACATGCCAACTTACCGCAGCCAGTAAAAAGTTAATTATTAAATTTTAGTTAATTGGGCTGCTGACAGCGATAATTATCATCTAACTTTCTGTCCCCCTGGCCGCTTAACTTATTTGCACAAGTGGTTCTCACGTGCCTTCGAGCGCCTAATTTTAAAAAAATCATAAAGCTTAATTTTGAACACCCGGTATATATGAGGCTAGCGAAAAGATCGCGAGCGCATCGTGAGCATGGTATGTAGTCATATTTTTACCACACGCGCGTTCATGATTATCATGTTACACCAGTCATATACCTGTGTCATCCATTCACGTCACGTAATACCGAATTTGGTATATGTGAAGCTAGCAAAACGACCACGAGCGCATCATGAGCGTGGCATGTAGCCATCTTCTACATGACACGGATGTCATGATTACCATGTTTTTGCCAGTTCGGAATCCATTGTCGTCACGTAATACCAAGTTTGTTATACGTGATGCTTGCGAAACGGCCGCGAGCGCATCGTGAGCGTTGCATGTAGTCATGTTCTTACATGACACGCATGTCTTTATTTCCACGTGAGAGCCTGTCACTTATGTTCACGTTGCAGTCATGTCATACTATACCAGTTTTGCAAAATGGCATGTGAAATAAACTACCGCAGGAGCAGCAAGATGATGACATGTAAATCATGACATTCATGACATCCATGTCATCATTTTCGTATTATGACTAGTCACTAATGGTGGTCATGCAGTCATGTTATGCCATACCTATTTCGGTATAGAGGTCATTATCCAAATGGTCAGAAGAGCTAAATGTCATAGGCGGCTAGATAGATAGATAGATAGATAGATAGATAGATAGATAGATAGATAGATAGATAGATAGATAGATAGATAGATAGATAGATAGATAGATACGATAAAAGTCGCCGAAGTTCGCTAAGAAAATGCTTCGCATTTAAAAGCCACGCGCTCGCGCGCTTCAACGGGTGCCTGTGGTCAGGCCTTTACTCGCTCCAACGAGTACGTGTGGTCAGACCTTCATTCTACGTTATGATGCTGCAGAATAATGCTGTTGATGATTAGTGACGATTCAGAGTGTGTTAAAACGACTGCAGGTTCGTGTTTTTCCGTCAAATCATTTAACGCACATGGGAAGGGAAGGCGGCTTCGTGCCTTTGCTCACTCTCTACTTCTGGTATAGCTTCTTCCACTCCTCTTCGCCTTTTCTGCAGGTACCAGGTGTGGGCCAAGGCTGATCCAATGCACTACGGCGAGCGATTGAACAGCAGCAAGAAAGAGGTCTCCGTGTACGTTAACAGGTTTCACAATGGGCAACGTTTCCATGATCAGAAAGTCACCTTAGAGGCAAAAAGGACTCGCACGAAGTACGCCTCCTGGCACTCAACAAAATCCATCCACATTGGTATCCACGTTAGGGCGTCGCTTTCTCTATCTGGAATCTTCCACCTCAACGCTGGCCTTGACCACAGCTACGATCTAACGAGGGGTGAAAGTCACATGGAAAAGGAAGAAGTGGAGTTCACAGTCAAAAAAGAGATAACCATTCCTCCTCGCACCACAGTTGAAGTAGAATGGATGACCACAGAACATTATCAGGTCAGCACCTTCGCTTGCTCAAAACTCCCTAAGAGCAAGTAGCTAGAATGGTAAAGCCCTAACCACGCGTTACAGCCCGTCAGCGCTTGGCTTTCTCTATAGTGGGAGAGGGGATAGTAAGGGTGGATTGGATCGCAGCTTCACGTATAGCCTCGCGCACTCTCTCTCCATAGGAAGAGAACACGGCGCTGCGTCAAAAGGCCACGCGCCGACACGCTGCCACACGCCCTTGTGGTCAGGCCGTGGCATGTAGTCGCGTCGCGTCGCATTCCTCTATGAATGGACAGGACACGCAGCTATGTGAAGCTGCGCGCCCTTCCCTTCCATAGGGAAAGCCATGCGCCGATTCGTAGTAATGCACGCGCTGTACTATAGTGTCACGTGCCATAGTAGTGCCACACGCCGTAATACCACTCTACGCACTGACTCGTAATAACGCGTGCATGTGGTTAGGTCTTGATTATGCGTATCTAACCGATCGCGCTAAAAACGAGCGTATAGGTAAGGGGTCTCAACCTCACCTTGACTAGCGAGCTGCGGTCACAAAATTTAGTCTCCCACAAGGGCTGGACATTCAAAAAAACGAAGGGAAGAAAGATGGGGTTGAACAAATGTCAGCTATAGTGTTGTCATTTGTTGAGAAAATGCCTTCCCAATGACTCCTATGTGTGTGTCATTTCTGAAGGCAATTTGATGACAGGGTTCGAGAAATGAATCGGCACCAGCTTCTATATTACGAACAAAATCTGGACGCCATATCTGAAATGTAGCGTTTTTGTTCAGCGCAAGATTTTTCAACTGATGGTGAACGCATCGGCTGCACCACTCAAAAAAATGAATGAGAACCATCACGCCTGTGTGGCTCAGAAAAATTTTGTTCCTTAATTTTTTATGGGAAAAAGTCATTTATGGGCGGGGCAGCTGGCTACCATCGCAATATTGCGCTGTATAAATATCTGGGGGATTTTGCGCCAAAAATATTTTCAGAGTCATCAAGTTTACCGCTTTACGTAGAAAAGATCGCGAATGTCAGAAAATCATCATTTGGGTCCATATACAGGCGCAGTTTACACCGCGTGGTGCTTCACTTGAAGATCAGTATTATAACTCCATCGAAAGCAGATAAATGCTTCAATTATATAGCAAGTTTCTATTGCGTTTGTGTCTCGCCGCGGTGGTCTAGTGGCCAAGGAACTCGGCCCTTGACAGCAGCTCGCGGGATCGAATCTTGGCTGCGGCGGTTGCATTTTCGATGGAGGCGAAAATGCTGTAGGACCGTGCGCTTAGATTTAGGTGCACGTTAAAGAACACCAGGTGGTCGAAATTCCCGGAGCACCTCCGCTTCCCTCTCATCATTATGATTATTAGAGACAGCGTGTTTGATAACCATATATGGTGGTTTTGGGATGTTAAACGTAAAAATTATTATTACTGCAATAAAGCAGCACAATTTTTTTCGCATATATTTGCGATGGTAACAAGAATGGCTAGGACAGTTGTCGATAAGTAACCCTTCAAGAAAAGGGAACTTTTCCCTGCGAAGGACTGCCGCTCCCGTTGTCTGCTGCTGTCTTTACCTATTTCACCCCCTGTTAATTCTTTCTACGAGCATTAACCTTGTACTGACGTATAATGCACTAGTCAATAATGTATTATTTTATTCGGAAACGCGCGTGCGCGAGCACAACCATATGAACTGCGTGGCATACTGCATGAGCTGCTGAAGTTTGTAATCGTAGAACGCGTGAATGCATTCATATAGATGGAAGAACAACAGTGAAGCAGATAATGGGAAATACCTGTGAAAGATACGACGGATTGTGAACAGTTATATATATATATATATATATATATATATATATATATATATATATATATATATATATATATATATATAGCCAGCACCCGCTTTCCAGAAAATTGCCACTCGCTGCATGCCCTACGTCCCTAAGGATAAGGTTCCGTGAGCCAAGGTGGCTCTCGGAACCCGAGAATGCCACCATATATATATATATATATATATATATATATATATATATATATATATATATATATATATATATATATATATATATATATATAGCCAGCACCCGCTTTCCAGAAAATTGCCACTCGCTGCATGCCCTACGTCCCTAAGGATAAGGTTCCGTGAGCCAAGGTGGCTCTCGGAACCCGAGAATGCCACCATATATATATATATATATATATATATATATATATATATATATATATATATATATATATATATATATATATATATATATATAGCCAGCACCCGCTTTCCAGAAAATTGCCACTCGCTGCATGCCCTACGTCCCTAAGGATAAGGTTCCGTGAGCCAAGGTGGCTCTCGGAACCCGAGAATGCCACCATATATATATATATATATATATATATATATATATATATATATATATATATATATATATATATATATATATATAGCCAGCACCCGCTTTCCAGAAAATTGCCACTCGCTGCATGCCCTACGTCCCTAAGGATAAGGTTCCGTGAGCCAAGGTGGCTCTCGGAACCCGAGAATGCCACCATATATATATATATATATATATATATATATATATATATATATATATATATATATATATATATATATATATATATATATATAGCCAGCACCCGCTTTCCAGAAAATTGCCACTCGCTGCATGCCCTACGTCCCTAAGGATAAGGTTCCGTGAGCCAAGGTGGCTCTCGGAACCCGAGAATGCCACCATATATATATATATATATATATATATATATATATATATATATATATATATATATATATATACATATATATATATATATACATATATATATATATATATACATATATATATATATATATATACATATATATATATATATATATATATATATATATATATATATATATATATATAGCCAGCACCCGCTTTCCAGAAAATTGCCACTCGCTGCATGCCCTACGTCCCTAAGGATAAGGTTCCGTGAGCCAAGGTGGCTCTCGGAACCCGAGAATGCCACCTCGGCTCACGAGAGACCCGTAATATATGCGTTTCAACTTGCCGGCACTACACTTCCACCTCCCTCTCATCATTACCATGATTACCCCTACTACAATCATGATTATCGTCACAATCGACGTCGTCGTCGTCGTTTGCATCAGGTATAGTCAAAAGGAAAGTGTCATGCCACGTATCAATATTTCTGACAAACTTCCGGGTGTAGTGATGTTGCAAAAGCCAAATTTTTCTCACATCACTGAATTTTTCTTTTTCCAGCGCTATCCATGGAAATCGGACATTCTAATAGACGGCTGGTTCGTAACACAGTTCGAGAAACGGGTGCACAACCACCATCTATGGTTCCACCCCATCGATGTGATCAAGGACGATGACTTCGAACTGCATGATCCGTCGGGCCTGGTGTGCACCATCGAAGGCGTCGCGGATGGTGTCACTGTGATCACGAATGAACTGAAAGTTCGGGAGTACCCTCTCGAGGCGGGAATCTCGGTGCCAGTAAACATCACTACGCAGACACTGACAGGGAATGACATTGAGGTCAAGATAGTCAACGTCACGTCACTTGGATAGTATTAAAATTGCGAACTAACAGCCGTGTCGGCGACATGCGCTCCATAGCGTCATGAGAAGTGGAATTCATCGTGGCACCATACTTTACTTAGTCACAACCGTACGAAGCCATTGAATGCATAGCGGGAATCGCTGTCTTAGTTTTATTATATGGGTAGGAATTGCAATATAAAAATACACTGAAGTGAACGAAAAGAACAATTTGCCGTCAGTGAAAGCAAAACCCACAACCTACGCATCACACTTGCGGTGCCAGTTATGCTATAAGGCGGCGAATGCTCCCCGTGAATATGCAGAACAATTATCTTGGGCCTTTTTAGCATGGCGGAGCGTTTAAAATTATTGCACGTTTCAACCAGGGACCGTTTTTTTTTTTTCAAGAGTGGAGGTGTAAATAGAAACATTAAGACAAGGGAAGGGAAAGGGGAAAGTGTTTTTAATAAAATATGGTGATTTTTGTCACAAGAATGAATAAAGAAACAAAGAAATCAACAGAAACTGTTAATGAATTAAATACAGTAATTTCTAATACATGAATAATTATTTTGGCTAAGGAAAATTAATGCTGAGGAATGATTAGGCTATATACTCTGGACGAAGCCGTCGTCATCACCGTCTGCATTTGTAATGTCCACTGCATGAGGAAGGCCTCACCCAATCATCGCCAGCCCGATCCTGAACTACACGACCTGGTTCGATTTCATGGTGACTATTCGGGTGGTCGCTTCAGAGCACTCTGGTGCTACGAGCACAGCCACATGGTTTCGCTAGACAAAAGCACATGGTTTCGCTGACAAATAAATAGTCCGCATTCATGAAAGGGGAAAGAGAAAGCAGTGAGAAAACGTCAGGGAGCACTGTAAATAGACAAACCCGTCACAAACTGGCTCTATACTAACCAGACCGAATCACCGCTGCCACGATAATGAAATGGTTACGGTGCTCCGCTGCTGACCTGAAGATCAGGGGTTCGATACCGCCAGCGGCGGTCACACTTCGATTGAGGCGAAATACTAGAGGGCCATGTATATTATGCGATGACAGTGCTGTAAAAGGGACGGCAAGTCTCTTCATGGTAGCTGGCTCCCCGCCGTCATCCACATAGCCAATGTTCGCCAGTGAGGAGGTGCGTTCTTAGAGACAGGATAAAGAGGGCTTAAAAGTGCAAACGACAGGAGGGGATACAAGAGACGAGACAGAGCGCTGAACTGCCAACAATTTATTTCTTGCTGAAGTGTTCGCTTTTATACAGTCCCCAGTTGCAGTCAAGTGCGAAACACAATGATAATGCATAAGTACATCACACCTACAAGCGAAGAAACATTTTTTCTTATTGGGTGAGCGCGACAGAAGGGCTGGTAGCTACACGTGCTACAGTGAACGGACAGCCATCCTTGTTTATAATTATCCACATTGTACATATGTTCCTTCAGCCTCTCATATATACAACGACCTACAGAAGCTGATACCTCACATTATAGATACAATCTCTAAATTTATTTGCGTGTTTTGTAGTACACTGAGGGTGGGTCTGGACGGAAGAACGAACAGTTTGCACGGCGACTCAATTTTTGAGGGGCCGTAAAGACCACCTTCACATTAACTCGCTGTGCACTTTTTTAAGATTGCGCGCCATCTTGTGCATATACGGAACCACGGCGAAAACTTATCTAGCTGTGACAGGCACTACGTTAGCGTTCTCTTTGCCCTGAAGTTCACACAGCAGGCCTCGGCAACAGAAACTTGCTCGTGATCGGGGTGACTAGCTGATGTCAGCCTTGAAGATTGCTCAACCAAGTTTTCGGTGATCTTGTGCATACAGTATTTTCGCAAGGCATTCATGAAGCAATATATTGGGATACCTCACTTAACTAATTTAGAATGCGCAGAGTGAAATGGCAAAAGAGGCTTACTTCCACGCGGTTGACACATCCAGCAAATGCGGCCATTATTCAGAATAGCTTGACGTCAAAGAACCTGATTTCACAATTCTCAAAAAGTTCATGAATTAGCTCGAAACGTTTGAAATCACTTCGCATGAGGTCTAAAACGGCAAGAACGTCAGTCTTATACGATGCAACATTTCTGTCTTAAGAAATTTTAAAAAATCATCTACATACGTATCTGAAAACATGTGTCTCATTAGTGTTAGTGAAAACTTCCGAAATGAATTCTGTCTATTTTACCTAAAAACAGGTCACTGACGACGGGAGCGATGCACGAACCAATACAGATACCGGCTTTTTGAAGGTGAGGTTTTTCATCCAATACGATGTACGTCGACTGAAGGTAAAACCTAAGGAGCTCTAAAAACCCACTGACACCAACAACAGATTGAGTCTGGAATTTAGAGGCACCAAACTCATCTATGCATTATAACATGCATTATAACATGAGTCATGCAGAATACAATAATACAGGTCATTGATGTCTACAGAGAAGGCAAAGAGACTCTTATTCCAACGTGACGAAATAAAATTCTGTACTTTACAATAACTTTTTTACTAGAAAGGCATCGTTCATTTCTAGGCATTTCAAGGTTTCCTGCAGGTAGAGCGCAACACATTTTTGCCAGGTACCATTTTCAGATACTATTAGCCTAAAAGGCATGTCGACCTTATGTGTTTTCATGCTGAAGAAAGCCTCCAGGAAATCTTCCTTGGCATCTGACATGTTATTTTGTACACTGACAAGATTTAACTTGCGAAGCAGGCTTTTAACTTTACTTTTGATCTTTTTGCACTGATACACGTTGTTACGACCGGCCCTAGGGAACCAAGCAAGAGGAGTTTGGGGGAGAACCGGTTCTTGACCGACTGTGTCGTCCACCCCCTCCTCCCCATTCAGGCTCCTCCTCTCGCCGGGAGAACTCCGGAATCTGCTGTGCGTTCGTGACCATGTTTGGGCATTTTTTAGGGCGCCTTGACCATATATGGACATCGTGTTAGGTTGTGCCACTCCATGTGTTGTGAGAGGTGTTTCCCCCTCCCTCGTGGCCGAGGTGCCGGGGACACCGTATTGGCTGACGATGCGGACAGTGCGCCCAGTGTCGGCAACGCGGCGCTATAAAATGCCGAAGACGTTTTGTATCTCTCTCTCTTCTCTCTTTGGATCAGTTGATCACTTCTCCACATGTAAATAAATCTCTGTTGTTCGTTCGGGCGCTTCTTCTCGCTGAATTGTTGGACGATAGATCCTGCGACGGGGCCAGCTACCGAAAACGAGACCGGCAGGACCCGGAGTCCCAACAACGTGCAAGTCACGTGCAACTGGTGACTGTATAAAAGGGAAGACTTCCACAAGAAATAAATTATTGGCAGTTCAGCGCTCTGTCTCGCCTCTTCTATACTTTCCTGTCGTTTGCACTGTTAAGCACTCTTTATCATGTTATACCAACACGGCCAATCCTGCTTTTTCTTAGAGACAGAACGTTGGTTTATTAGCATGATGAAAGAGATATGAACTGTACAGTGATTCGGCAATTTTGTACAAATGTCTTTGGTTCTTATAGCCTGTCGTTTCTTAACACGGCAGTTCGAAGAAGGCGGTGACCACTCGTGGGATGTAGAGCATGGGCGAAAATGTCCAATGGGTAGCACAAGCCGACCACACAATGACGCAACCACCCCACGCCTTGAAGTTGCTACGCAGGGCGAGGAGGTAGATTCCCGTGGAGGGGAAAAGTTGAGCTCCTCTGGGGAGAAGATGGCCGTTGACATGAACGTCAGCAGCGGTTCATGGCTGCATCCAGGTACAGTGTTCTAGAACCTTCAGAACAAGGCAGTCCAGGTGCTCGATTCCCCATAACTGCTTCAGCGACACCATCCCATGCTTCTGTACCGTTGGTGCTTTGTCATGACCCCGTGTAGGCGATAATGGCTGAGTTGAGCTGTTGACTTCATGAGAACTGCAACATTTACGCTGCCTCACGCTATTCAACCCCGCTCAACAAAGGGTTGTTCGCGATACTCCCATTGCGTTCCTCGTAAACTGACCACAGCGAACTGCCTGGCCCATCTGCAGCTACAGCGACGTGCTTCCGACCGGGCGCCGATATCGGGGTGAAAGCATTCTTGCAGACAGGTTCACGCACAATGACGTCTGCTAAGACAAACTGCCGGGCCAAGCGTAACAGTGCACATTAAAGAACACCATATAATAAACATTTCCAGAGCACTCCACGACGTACTTCATATTCGTACTTGATTTTAGCACGTAAAATCCCCAGATATTGGAAAAAAATGAAAAGCAATTTCATTGTAAAGTCTCTAGAGATGTGGCTAAAAGAGAAAAAATAAGAGAAAAGTGAGCCCCGTAACTGTCTGCATCAGGGTGCGACACCTCAACAGTAGCTCACAAGGGATGGGGGTGAGGAGGGATTAAAAGGATAGAATCAAAGGTATAAATTTTTATTTTATTTTATTTATTTACAGAATACTGTCAATCCCCCATGGGGATTATTACAGGGGTGGGCATCACTGTCACAACTTTCGACGTTTGAAAAAAGAAAAGGCAGAATAATAAAGAACACATAATCCCTGAACACAACAGTACGGCATAAAACAATCATACATACTTATTTCAACGATAACCAAGTACGAAGTACACCAATGGTACACCAACAAAAAACAGGAGTCGAGAAGAAACGAAGCACAGAAAGAAGAAAACACAGATCGAGTATTGTTATCAAGGAACCGTATTAAACAATAAATATATGCAGACAAGTGTTTTAGTATGACAATTGGAAACAGGAAGTACTGTGTGGAAAAAAACAGGTGATCACTGTACATGCTAACTAGGTTAGAATAGATCAGTGCCTTCAATTAGTTTCATGTTCTCTAATGTTGGGTGCTGTGTAATGACTGGATTCAGTGTGTTCCATTCTCGAATCATGCGCAGGAAGAACGAATAGGAAAAAGTATTATTACTAAATGAGTATTCTTCGAGTTCCCATGCATGGCTTCGCCTCGTCGGTCTGGTATCTCGAAAGCTCAAGTAAAGATCTGGGTTTATGCGGAATGATCTGTGTAAATGTAGATAAAGAAATTTGAACCGGAAAACCTTTGCACGCCTGTCAAGGGTGGCTAGACCAGCACGATGTAGTAGATCAGTAGGTGAGCTGTTGCGCCTGTATCTGTTGAAGATAAAGCGCACTGCTTTCCGCTGAACCCTTTCCAGTATAGCGATACTATTCACAGTGTGAGGGAACCACACAATATTAGCATATTCTAAGATCGGGCGGACAAATGTGACGTAACCAAGAAGCTGCGTTTCATGTGTGGCGAATGACAGGGCCCGTTTAACAAAAAATAATTTGCTCATCGCTTTTTTGGACACTTGACGCACGTGCTCTGTTCAACTAAGATCAGATGAAATTGTGATACCACGGTATTTGTACTGGTTAACCTTTCGTAGTGGCACATTATTAAAATGGTATTGAAAATCAAACTTAGACACATTGTTGGTAATGGACATAAATACAGTTTTGTCAATGTTTA